CTGCAAAACGAGAAGAAATTAAATTATTTGATGCAGTTTTCAGATATTAAAGACTAGTTAAAGACTATTAAAGACTAATTCACGTGATTTTGAGTTCTTCCCTTATGAGCCAGTTAGTCTCGTTTTATATGAGAAAAAGACATGTGTTAAACCATAAAGCTTCTTGGATAAAAACCCTAGGTACCGCCTTCAGATCTGAGGCTCCATCTGCTTCTGTGCACCTGTCTGCTGGAACAACAAGCTATCCCAGCCGACCAACATCTGGCCCCCCGCCTGCTGTCCGCTTTGGCTCAAAGCTGGTGCAGCTCAGTCTCCTCTGAGCCTGAAAGGCCTCACAGGGACTCAGCCTGAACCCCGTGAGGCCCACAGAGTCTGCTGCTGCCTCCAAACCCAGCAAAGGCTGCCCCAGGGAGGCGGATATGTGGAGGGAGAGACTGTTAGCGTGATCTAAAAATGGTTTTAAAGAGAGAAAACATCTGGATCTGAGAGTAATACAGGGAAGTGCCAGAGGGAGATGTTTCAGAATCAGGCAAAATGAGTTTTTTGCTCAGTCTCTGCAGCGTTTGTCGGCGTTCAGAACTGGTTTCTGTCTTTGCAGAAGCTTTTCCAGGAGCAGGTGATTTGTTCTGCCTGATCTGTCAGGGCCTGCTAGGCCTTCTCTGCTGGCCCAAGAAAATATCTAAATCACTGACTGATGTTATTCAGATTTTCTCCATGAATACTTATTAAATATTTCCAAATGGTCTGTCCGCTTCTTTTCATAAATCTTCTCATGGTTGTGCTGCTTCTAGACATGTGTTTTCATATTATATATTAAATATATATATATTCGCGAGTTTATGAGGATATTATTTATGTCAGTAGTAGAAGACCTGTATTTCTTTAGACTGTATTTCTACATAATAAGATGATTTTCATAACCATGAAACAGTTATTGAGGGGTGAATTGATTCAGAGGGGAGCTCTACTGAAGGCCACTGCGGATCTGAGGAGGCAGAACACACTGGACCTCCTTTGGGTGGCGTTTCCACTCCTCCGGCATGGCGTTTCCACTCCTTTAGCGTGGCGTTTCCACTCCTTTAGCGTGGCGTTTCCACTCCTCTGGGCGGCGTTTCCACTCCTCCTGACGGCGGTCTGAGACACAGAACGCTCAGCTCAGGGCTGGCCGGGTTCCATCGGTCTGCACAGCTGGAGGCACATCAGGAGCTTTCACTCTGCCTCCGTTTGCTTCCGCTTCAGCTAGCAATTACCTACGTTTCCCAGAGTGCTTTGCAGCGCTCTGAGAGGGGAACAGACTCCATGCGTGTTGATGTCGGGGGAGGTTTTGGTCAAATAAAGATTCTGGATCTGGAACCAGCCTTCCAGCCTTAAAACTCTAAACACAACAGATGTTTTCTCTGTTCTTTATTTTCTATAGCAACAGACAAGGAAAGGAATAAGTCATGAGGGAAAATCTCTTTCAGGAGCAATCGAAACAAGTCTGATGTCAAATTTTAATTTTTAAGTGACATTTTGAATAATTCTGATCACAGAAACAGAATCTAGACAAGTCCAGGACGATTCTTCCACTGAAAATGGAGAAAAAAGCCCCCCCGAGTGCCAAACCCTGCTAATCTAAATGCAGCAGCCTCTGAGAATCTGTGGATGTTACATAACTCCATCAGTCACAGTGCAGAGAGGGTGCACACTTCCACATCACACCGAATATCTGAGGAGAGGTCTCAGGTTTGTCCTGATGAGGAACGAGCTGAGAGCTCTGCTGAGACTCCACATTAAACCCGGAACACCTGCTCAGACATGTCCCGACCACCCAAACACACATTCCCTCGTCTCTGGCTGCCTCCAGCCTGAAGAGTTTCTATAACCCGAAAACACCAAACACCAAAGGCCTTAACTTTGGCCGCCTCTTAGAGATGAACCCCACAATGGATCCCTTTTACTGACAGGAACAGAGAAGCTCACTGAGAAGGTTCTATTTAATTCCCCTTCTCCCAGCCTACAAAAGGCCTTAAGGCTCCGGTCAGAAGCAGAGCTTTCATCATATGACCATAAATGTAATGTTTTCAGAGGTAAAAAAACAACTATTAACCATCCATCCTTTATTTTAAGCCGACTTCTCCATAACCAGGCCCACTTTAGTCCACCCACTGAATACATCTAATTGCAATTCAACATACATATTTCTGCTTGGAGTTGGTGTAAACGTACTAGAAGAAACATAATAACTAACAAGTATTTTTACTTTCAGAGGACAAAAAGGTCTTATTGTAACAAGCACACAATTAGGAGGATTAAAACTGATCCTGGGTTAGTATCAGACGCCTTTAAAGAGCTAGGAAAATTGTAATTCCAGTCCATCCATCCGTGTTTCTGTCTGTCCATCCATCCATCCATGCTTCCACCCATCCATCCACCCACCCTCGCCAGGGGGGCCACCAGAATAATCGATCCAGCTGCAGACACCCTCATCCATGCACGGATCCAGCTGCCCTGCATTAAGCCGGACACACCGGACCAGCCTCCCGCTGCAGGCCGGCCTTTCCCCGGTGCTCATCCCCGCACACACACCGCCGGAAACCGGCCACACGGCCACTCACCGTCACGGCACAGCGAGCCTCCGGAGTCCGGCACGGCCTCCGCGTCCATCGCCTTCCTCCCCGATCTGCAGCGCGTAGCCCCGGCGAGGAGCTCCGTGTCCCCCCCCCGGCCGGGGAAAGCGGTGCAGAAGCCGGGCTGAAATCCTCCAGGAACCGGGCTGTGCACCGGCTGACGCTGGACTGCGCGCGTCCCAGATGGAGCGCGCGGCCGTGAGGACGGATGTGCGG